ACCAATACATTTTGTTAAAAAAAATCACTCTAACTACAATTTCCCCAAACTTTTTATTTGGGGGAAATTTCAAAGCTATGGAAAAGCTGAACACTCCAACATTAGTCACATAGAATCACAATTAATACAGTGCCGTATTTTCTCTCTACATGCATACACACACACATTTTTGGCCTGGACTATCTGAAAGAAGTTTGCAGATATGACTTCCCCTGTACATTCTTAAGCACACACGTCTCCTAAGAACAAAAGTACCACAATATCTTATTATACCTGACAGATTTATGTCGAGTAAAACTCTTGTTTTCCTGCTCAAATTTGTCCTCAAAATACCCTGAGTTGCCTGCACAACTTCTCAAAAAAACCACAGTCCAATCCAGTTCACACGTGGCTTCAACACAGATGAGTCCTTTGTGTCTTGTGATATCGACATCATTGAAAAGTCCAAATAAATCACTGAATTTATCTGAGTATTCAGATTCAGACTAACCTCTCTGGCAAAAAATGCTACCTAGGTGTACTTCCATGATGCTCACAGCAACAGGTTTATGTTTCCCCAGTACTGGTGCTGCTAATTTTTCCCGAGAAGCATCTAGTAACATTTTGCAAAACACTAATGTCGTGTAGTTGAGTATTCTTGGGCATGTATGCAATTACACTGTGCCAAAGTGGTGTTCTTTTCGTCCAAATAATAGCAAAAATGCTAAAGAAAACCAACAATTTCTTTTCATTGTTCAGTAAGAATCAACCCATAGCAAATCAGCCCATAGCGGAACGCAACCCCCTCCCAAATGCTTGCCAATTACACAGTCCGCGCGTGGGCACTTGGCTTCAGAAATTAATTACAACAGCCCCAGGGACGACCCTTTCCATGCATCATAGCTTGATACTTGTTATTACTGCCCATTGACGCTCCTCTGGATGATTCTTATACAAACATCGGGGGACTGGTTTTCCCTAAAAATTCCAGAACTCAGGTTCACTACCTATGACATAACCTAATCATTACAAAAAAAAAAAAAAAAAATTAGCTGCCCTCTCGCACCGCAGTGAGGTAGCAAATGCCAAGCATGTGGATTTTTTTTATTTTATTTAAATTTTATTTTTATATTCCCCATACAATTACAACCCTCTTATTTTGACAAGCCCTCCTTTCCCCGCCCCCCACCCCCATAGAGTGTCTCTGGCTCATAGTTGTTTGTTGATTTTGATATTTTCTTATAGTTATTCTTTTTCCTGGTCCCTTATTTAAGTTTTCTAGATTCCTGCTATGAGTGAGACCATCCGGTATTTTTCTTTTTCTTTCTGGCTTATTTCACTAAGCATGATTTTCCCTTCTAGCGCCATCCATGTTGCTGCAAATTGCATGTGTTTATCTTTTTTGAATGCTGAGTAATATTCCATGGTGTATATGTACCACATCTTCTTGACCCAGTCATCTATTTTCGGGCATTTGGCTTGTTTCCAAAGCTTAGCTATTGTAAATAGTGCTGCTATAAACATAGGGGTGCAGGTGTTCTTTGGAATTGATGTTTCTGTGTCCTTTGGGTAAATACCTAGGAGTGGAATTGCTGGATCCTATGGAAGCTCTATGTTTAGTAGGTCCAGAAATCTCCACACAGCTCTCCATAGTGGTTGGACCAGTCAAGCATGTGGCTTTGAAGCAACACTTCAGGCGCGGGCCACGGTGCCCTCGGGTGGTGCCCAGGGGGCGGGGAGCGCGCCCCGCTTTGGGGGCGCGAAGCAGTAACCAGGGGAGCAGTAACCAGGGGAGTTACAAGCAGTAACTTGTCATTCCTGACACCCCGAGCTCTCTGGGCTGGACGCTGACATTCGCCCAGCAGGCTGGGGTCTCCGCGGAGCTTGCGTGTCTCCCCTGCGCCAGCGTGTCCGCCGTCCAGGACTCGCCCTCACCCCACCTTCTGATCCTCCGGGAGCGGAAGGAGGGGGTGCGCGCGGCCCAGGATGGAGGAAGAGGAGCGCAGCCCCGAGTTCCGGGGGTCACAGAGCGAACCTGGACCCGGAGGGGAGCATAAGCGACCCCGGAGGTCGTCACCCGCTTCCGGCGCGCGCCCCCTGACGCCATCCGCCCCGCCCGCGCGCACGCGCTTCCCGACACACGCCGCTCCCGCGGCCACGTCCGCCGGGCCCCGGCCACGCCCCGCGCGCCGAGCAGCCCCGTCGCTCCTCCCACCCGGCGCGCCGGCGGCGGGCACTGCGGCGGGCACTGCGCCTGCGCGGCGCGGGGGCGGGGGCGCGCGCGGCCGGCGGAAGGGGCGGGGCGAGGCCGCACTTCCGCGGCCTCGGGCGGGTGAGTACGGGCGGGGCGGCGCGCGGAGGTCGGCGCCCGGCCGGGTTCCTGCCGCGGCCGCCGGGGCTCGCGCTGGCGTCGGGGCGCCCCCTGCAGGAGTTGGGGCGGGGGAGGAAGAGAAGCTGGGGCGTGGGGGCGCGGGGGACGTGGGGGCGGGCGCCCGCCAAGCAGGCTCGCGGAGAGGCTGCTTCTGGGTTTTTCCTTTAAAAAAGAGACCCTGGGAGCTGTGTTTCAGAATTGGGGTGCTCTCCGCGGGGTCCCCCAAGGCGCTGCCCCTTGCTCACGAGCCCCGCGGAGGCTTAGCCGTTCGTCCTGCGGAGCTGCGAGCAGAGGGAAGTGAAGACGCGACTTTGGGGGAGAAAATGCACGACTGGAAAGTGGGGTCACATGGGGTGTCGCGGGTCTGGTCCCCCGGACTCGCTGTCGATGCAGATACTTTGTATTTCCCCTTAGACATTGACACACCACCTAGGCCACAATGGTGTAAAATTATCACCTTTCTTAGAGTCGTGCCCCAATACAGACACTTTGTCAGACGCACAGCAGCCTGCGGAGCCTCTCCAGGGTGATGGAAAACCAGAATTTCTTGAGACCTATGCAGATTCTTTCATTTTGTTCTTTTGTACAGTCAGCGTTTCATGCTTGCTTTCAGGATGATGATGATGATAATGGAAGACAGGAGCCATTCTGGTTCTTTTAAGGGCTGTGTTAGAGCCAAAACAAGCTAAAAAAAAGTTACATAACTTTAAGACGTGTCATCACGGTTGGAGATCTTTGGAAAAGTCCAAAGAAGAACCTGTATTGGGCATCGAAAGTGCTGGTCGGTGCTTGAATATATAAATCCCTCAGCTGATTTTTGCCATGTGGGTCCCTCATACACAGATTGATTTTCTGCAATACTGGCCCCAAATCTATAGTTTTACATGATTTTTCATGTCATTGGCAACCAGTTCAGTTACATCCTCACACCATGGCTGTGAGCTAGGTAAGCTCATTGGTGGCCTCTGCAGATTATCGCCCAAGCATTCAGAAATAATTGGAATTAAAACAGAAAAATTCCTGGAAATTCTTAGGAAAAGATTGAAGGAGACCATGGGATTTAACCTGGGTGGGATAGAAGAAGTGTCACAGCCAAGTGCGGATGTAACAGGTGAGTTGGAAAAGTCAGTCGTGGGTTTGAAAGATTAATGAGTAAACAGCCCTAGGAAGAGGTCTGAGAAGGCATGCGCTGTAAGTGGAAGAAATCAGGCCAGACTGGACTTGCTCCTAGGAAAGTGGTTCTCAAACTTGAACATCCATCACACTTACAGGGAGGCCACATAAGAAGAGGTCCTGGCTCCCTCCTGCGGAGTATCTGATTCTCAAGGTCTGGGGGGAGGTCTGAGAATTTCCTTTTCTCATCAGTTCTCACTTGTTTATGCTGCTGATTTGGGGGCCACACTTTTAAGAGCCACTGCTAGGGTATGTTGGAGGAATTAGTAAGGAGGTCACATTCATAGTCCAGTATGAGTCATGCTGTGTAGTCGCAGACAGAGGTCTGAGGCAGGAGAGAGAAAAAGGGAAGGAAGATGCCTTGCAATTATTTCACAGATGCCAGGAGCTTCGCCAAACTACATGCAAGCTATTTCATTTCCCCCTGATTTATAGTTCTCAATATTTTCCTATTAAGTTTGGTAAAGATTACCCAGCCCCATAGCTGTTCTCAGAGCTCTGTAGGACTAGTTCAGATGTGAACGAGGGGTTAGCAATGGAAATGAATCAAAACATTTAATGGTGATGGAATTTAGAAAAATAGAAACTTCCTAAGCAGATTGAAACCTAAAAGTAGAAACTGGGAAATCCAAGTCTTACTGGAAAAGTGACAAAAGGGGAAGTGGATGAGGAGTATCTGCACGAATCTGGTTTGTGTTCTGTGCTACTCTTTTATAGCAGTGACCTATTTAAAAGTCGCTTGTTTCAAAAGTCATTCTCTACCCAAATTCCCTGAAATTATTTAAAAAGGAGCACGTGAAGCCTTCTGTGGAGGTGTGGAAGATGGTAAATAGATTAATGGCAACTGACAGCTTATCTTCAAATCAAAAGTGACTAGCACTGAGAAGGGAAACATGGCACAACACTGCCTGCCTGTGCTGACTGTGCTGTGCCCCAGACGCTGACCTAATGTATTGATTTTGGAAATCCTGTGTGCTTTCTCTTGCCACAGTGGTTATTGAAATTGAGAATATTCATTGGACCAATTTCAAGACAAACATCCCAAGTCAGACTGGCTGCTGCTGAGCAAATTTTTAATGAAGGAAAATATCCATATGTTGAAAGCAGACTTTGAAAAGGAAAGTCCTTAAAATAAATATGTATTTACTATAAAAAGTGTGGAAAATGTATGTTTTCAAATCTGATTAACTGCGTAATCAGCATGATGGAGTTACTGACCCAGTCAAAATTATAGCATACGTTTGTTCTCTCCTTCTGTGAGTGTTAAACTATGCTGTGGGTACAGAGATAACTTAAGTCCTGGCCAGACTGACATCTTAAAAAATGATCACCAAACGGTGTGATCTGTACAGGACAACAAGAGGTAGAAGTGACAACTGACGGGACTTAGGAGAAATTGGTTCTTGAAGGCAGAAGGGGAATAGTGAGATAATGACGGAATGAATGACCTTCCAATCAGAAGGAACATCATGGACAGTGGCCAAGCTTTATTGTGGCCAATTCTGGGGCCTGTGTGCAGATCAGAGTGCTTGGAGCTGTGTGGTGAGAGTAGATGAGAGTCATCCCAAGAGAAGCCTGGAGGTCGGCACTGTCTTGGCTGGATGGCAGACGTCATGAAGTCATCCCCACATGGGATGTTCTAGTGCCTGGCACGGTGCCGAGGCACACAGTAGGTTCTCCATCTGTAGTGGCTGAAAGACTGGATCACAGAAAACTTTAAAAAAAAAAAAAAGATAAGCTTTTTTGGTATTTTAAGCAGAGGAAGAATATCAGATGTACATTTTATGAGGATAAGTAGTATGGAAGATGAATTAATATGGTCAGAAATCTATAGTAGATGGGGTTTTTTCAGACATAAGCTTGTGTCCTCCATAATTGCAATCTCTAAGCACAGAGAGGAGCAAGGGTATTTGAGTACCACATGTAATAGAGGTAATACTTGTGTGAAACTTGTTTGGGCTCTATGCATGCGTGTTGACTGATGGAAAGGTATTTCTTTCTGTGGGCTTCAGACAAAGCTTGAAAGCCACATAGTAAACACAGGAATGAGGGTGGAGAGAAGGGATGGACATAAAAGATGTTTTTGAGGAAACAAATGTGAAGCTTAAAATGCTCCTGTCCATGTGAACTTTCTTGCAGGGGACAGGATGCACTTAGCAGCTCATTTCTGTATTTTTGCCCACTTGTTTTTCATTATATGTTAATAAATTGACTTTCAGGTTTATTAAGGATGGCTGTGTTCTGTGATAGCTTACTGAATGCTGTAAATGCTTTAGAGTTTCTCTTGTAATTTGGTAGTGCTTAGCTTAAAATTGGAGGAGCATGAAAAGCATGAAAATTCACTGACACAGTTTGATTTGATTATTGGTTAAGTTCTTTGATTTCTTTCCATCAGAAAGCAGGAAAAGATGTGTAGTTATCCTAGAAGGAGGGTAATCATTCTCCTTTCCTTCATGATTTTGCCTTAAAGATTGAGTTTGTTGCTCTTTCAAGGCTTTTTATTGGGCTTAAGGAAATGTGTGGACTACATTTAAAATCTGGTTGATCTTAAATTAATGGGTTTTAAATGTATCCTGTGCTTATTTATAACATGACAATTATTTTCCTTTTTTTTTAAAGATTTATTTATGCATACAAGAACTGGGGTGTAGGTCGCAGGTGTGGGGGATTAGAGGATTCACCAGAAACAGGCGGATCTACTGAAATACACTGATGAGGGGAGCAGTGGGGAAACAGGAGAGATCAGCTGTGCCATGTGAGTCAGCTCTCCCTGGCTGGGGATCGAACTCTTGTTGCAATGGCTGCCAAAAGCTTGATAGCACTGAGACTTAACCCCTGCCCCACCAGGGAGGCCCAAGATGTGAATTATTTTCTGGAGTGAAAAACGTTTAGAAATTTTAGACATTTGGTCTCTCTGTCAGCTAATACGTCATTGGGATCTCCTACTGGCTAGATTTACACAGAAAATGTAAGCTAATTTTTCATTTTAGCCTAAGTTGAAGAAAGAAGGAAGGAGCGGAGGGAAGGAAGAAGGAAATAAGGAAGGAAGGAGAGAGAGAAACAGCCTGCCAGAATCCTTTCATATTCATTCAGTTGTGAAGGATTATTTGTGCTCCCTGGATGTGACATGAAACCGCTTTGACTTTTATAGAACAATCTGGAATTGACACCCTATAGCTCTAAATTTATGAAATCCACAACCCCCCGAGTTGTGCCACTGGGTGTAAGGCCTTGGTTAGTCACCCTAGCCTTGGTCAGCCTCACCTGTCAAGTTAGAGTTCTTCTGTCACATCACAAGTCTTCCCTGCAAGAGCAGGAACACCACCTCGCAGGTGATCAGCCTTCAGGAAAGGTAGCCGCTGCAGCTCTGTCACTCAGATGCTCCATTGGGCTTGGTGGCCCTGAAAAACCAGCCCCCCAGGGAGAAATTTGAACCAGCCCCTGCAGTTATATATGTTGGGATAGCTTTTTGGTTTGGACAAAAGATGAGAGTAAAACAGTATCATCCTTTCCTTGACTCTTTTCTTTTAAAGGCCCTTTATGATTTGTATTGACATCAAAGGCCAAAGAACATCACAATCTCAAAATTGTGATAAACCCTGCAATATAAATCATCAGCCTGTCAGATAGCTAGCGTGGATTTTCTGAGAAAGATTGCAATTAACTTGTAAGAAATCACTATTCTAAATGTTAGTACAATCTATAATACAATTTATTAGGATGATTTTTTTTTAAAGATTTATTTATGCATACAAGAGCTGGGGTACAGGCCACAGTTGTGGTGGGTGAGAGGATTCACCAGAGAGAATGGGGAGCAGAACAGGCAGACTGACTGAAATGCACTGCTGAGGGGAGCAGCGGGCAAGACAGGAGAGGTCTGCTGTGTCATGTGGGTTTCTCTCTGGCCAGCGGAGGATCGAACTCATGCTGCAGAGGCTGCGGATAGGTTCATAGTGCGATGCTTAACCCCTTGTGCCACCAGAGAGGCCCAGGATAATTTTTATTTACCTCATTTGTTGAGGGAATTTTATTTGCTTTCATTATTATAAAGGTGCATGGTGTCATCTAGCAAAACTCTTGTCACTGGATTTTAATTCCTTACAAACTTAGCTTTTAGTTTTCCTGTTTTGGAAGGTTGGTTAGAGGTCAGCGGTACCTTGATTCAAAGCCGGGAAGGCAGAGTGTTTTTAATGAAGATCCTCAGATCATACAGGCTAAGGCTCTTACTCACACTTTCCTTTGTACTTTTCTAGATCAACATAAAGTAGATAGATTAGCTATACTTACAAACCTTAAAAAATTATTGAAAGGTTACCAAGTGCCCAGCACTGTGCTAGATTCTGAGGAAGAATAAAACAGTGTCTCTCCTCCAGGATGATCATCAACTGGGTTGAGGGGTGAGATTGGTGGGGGCAGGGGCTCTATACGTAGATAAATTAGAAAACAAGACAAATATAGCAACTGAGGTGCGCATACGTCAAGCATTGTAGAGAGCAGTGAAAGCTCTCTTGCGTAGAGCAGTGTTCCGGTGTCAGTCTGCCAGACGCACGCATCTGAACTGAGGCCTCTTCCTCAAAGGCAAACTTCCTGCTGTAAGATAAGTCAGTCCTGGGAAGGGCCGATGCCAGGCTGCTGTCATGACCGCTGTGCTTGACAGCTGCGGAGAGTGGTTCCTGCGCACTCGGGTCACATCCAAAGATCCTTGTTTATGTCTTTGGTAACTAGGAAGGAGCTGATGGGTGTTAACGAAACTTACCATGCGTTCATTTTGCCATATTCAGTGCACCTTCCTCTGCACTGCTGTCAGTTACACCTTAGTACAAGCTGAGTAGAAAGAATACCAGTAAGAAGGACGTTTGAGAGTGCTAAAAACCAGACTTAGGCCTCCAGTGCCCAGATGGCATATAGAGAATGAATGACAGGCCAGCATCAGAGGGATTTTTTTAAACCTTTGAAATATTTGATTGAGGAAACTGTTAAGATGAACATAGTTTGAGGTCCATATGCAGGAGGAAAAGGCCTAGCAGAACTTCAGCACTAGTGGGGTGCTCTCTGAGAGTTTTTGTTTAGAAGTAGTTGAATGTGCACGGCTCTTTGCAGTGGAGCCACAGAGCTGAGTCAGGTGGTTCTGACCACTCACGGTGGGCGAGGAGGTGGTCTTGCTCTTGAATTTGGCACAAAGCTTCCATCCACCCTTCTGCCAAGGACCTGTTTCTGTGTCTGAGAAGACAGTGTGACACCGCCCTTGAGTCTCAGTGTTTCAGTGTCCATGTTCTCCTTTCTTCCAGGGAGGCCACAAATCCCACAGAGCCAAGCCACTTACAGTGTTGTTCTCACTTCACAGGCACGATGAAGGCCCCTGCACTGCTCCGGCACCTCCACCTGCACTTCCTGAAGGGGCTTCTAAGATTCTCTTCCCACCGGCACTTTGTCTGCTCCCCGAGTGCTCCTCTCGGGCCAGGCCTCCAGCTACCTCCTCCAGGCAGTCCCCTTGGAGTCCACAGTACGAAGTGGATGCTGCTGCCAGGCGGGTTTGAGAGAAAACTGTGTGCATGGACAACGCTCAGGGAACACCCAGAAGGACTGTCTGAGAAAGAACAACGACTCATGGACAAACTTTATACTGGTTTAATCCAAGGGCAGAGGGCCTGCTTGGCAGAGGCCATAACGCTCGTAGAGTCAACTCACTGCAGGAAGAAAAAGCTGGCCCAGATGCTTCTTCAGAGAGTGTTATCCTACCACAGAAAACAAGAATTAAACAAAGGAAAACCACTAGCATTTCGAGTAGGTCAGTTTTTTGTTGTTTTGTTTTCAGTCTGTCCACTAAGTACTATTCTAAATTCACTCTTCTCCATGACAAAATAATGGAATTTTTTTTCTCTTCAAATTTTGGGATGAATTTTAAATGCCTTTTCCTTGAAAATACTGGTTTTGTCTTGGGGAAAAAAAAGCCATGAGCTTTTGAACCAAGACTCTGTATTTTAAGAGAATAAGAGAAGATTTCTATTTTGACCAGCCTTGCTGTGGTCCCCAGAGTAGACAGAAATATGCATAGGACTTTATTAGTTTACTCCTTTCTCTCAGCAGTCCCTCTGCTCAATAGTGTAATGTGAACTTCTCTTTTTGTGATTATACTGACTAATTATCCTTGTCACATTTCAAAGTTCTGCTTCTTAGTTGTTCTATCGGTCCTTGTAGGCAAGTCTCGCTTTTCTCAGATACCTCTGGCTGGAGTTTCTGGAATGGGCTTGGCTCTAAGTCCAACCATCGCAACACCAAAATGTGTTTTCAAGGAGAGACCAAGTTCATTTGCTACCTAAAAATATTCGCTTCATTCGTTGAACAATTGACTTTTGTGATTGCAAATGAGCTTGTTACATTTTGGGAATTGTGCGTTTTAAAAACTACTTACATGTGTTCACCCAGCAGGAATTAAGCAAGTTAATTGGGTAGTAGTATGAGAACTTTTCATGATGAGGAATCACTAGGTGATTCCAGTCAACACTCACACACACACACACAAAAACCCACCCTGGCCAAGTGCAGGCATTTTGTAGGGGATGAGTACATGGATTGGCCTTACATTCGATTCGACTTTTATACCTCAGATTATGATGATCCAGGGACTAAAACTGCCTACTTTTTGGGACAATGGCAGACATGTTTTAAAGATCATTACACAAATAGCTCACCACCTGATACTTGTCCTGACCCACACCTTCCTTCTGCCCTCCCCAAGGGCACTCTCCTGGGGCGAGTATTAGGTCAGGTGTGAATAACCTTTATGTGTTACAGACAGATCTGCAAACTACCAAAGAGAAATTCCAGTTAGGACAAAGTGTTTACCTTTTAAACTTTAGAGACCCCTTGAAGAGAAAAGGTCTAAGAAATGTCTGAAACGAACCAGTGACTCACAACCAACCGCTCTCATTTGTGTTGCTCTGCTGGTTTTCCCTACCTGGTCCTCAGAGGCCAGCGGACCTGAGTCTTCACTGGGCTCACTTTATTACCATCATAAAAGCAGTGACTGTTTTTTCAGCACCCGTTAAGATGTGTAAGACAAAGATCTGCCCCCATAATGTGGTCAGGAGCCCAGCATACCATATACCCTACCTAGTTTTGAATAGTGTCATGATGAAATGCTTGTTTTACAAACTTTTATTGATCATACACTCAAAAATCTCTTTATGCCATGCACTGTTCTAGACATATCACAAGTATTAACTCATCTAATCCTTCCAACGGCCTGTTGTTTTATTTGGGTTGTTCTGCACTCAAGCACAGAATAGTTAAGTAACTTGCTCGAGATTACACAGCTCAGGAGAGGCAGAGAGAAATAGATGGACCTGTCACTTCTGGCCTTTATGCTCTTGTCCAGCATCCTTTCCATGTACCTTTCAGAGGATTCTCTACCTTTCTTAAGATAATTTTTTTGGGGGGATTCAGTCTGTATTATATTCTTTGAATTGTGGGTGAGATGAAGAAAAATATTACCCTTAATAGAGTAGTATTTTCTCAGTCACTGGACCTTCTAGAGTAACGAGCTCTTTTTCCACTGAGAAGATAGAATGGACATGACTGGGGAAGGTGGAGTGGCGCGGGGGTAGAGCTTCGGCCCATCAGCAACACAGGCAGCAAAGTCTGTCCAAGAAAGCTGCATTCTAGCAAAAAGGCAAAATCATGTTTTCATAGTTTAAGGGTGAACTTGGTGGACATGCGGTACGCAGAACTGTTTACTCCCATTGCTCAGGAACGAGATAAAGCGGTGGGTTTTCCTTTGGTGCTCTGTGGAAAGCTAAACTCTATTAATGAGGGCTTGAGTAAATCAGGAGAAGCTGAAGGTGGTTAATGTTTTGTGTAACAGGACTCATTGTAGTGCCAACTTGACGAAATTAGAAGGTCTCTTTCCACTCTAGGATTGTCTGGACCCCCTGGTGCTGGAAAGTCAACCTTTATAGAATATTTTGGGAAAATGCTCACTGCGAGAGGGCACAGGCTGTCTGTGCTGGCGGTGGACCCTTCTTCTTGCACGAGCGGTGGTGAGTAATGTTGATCCTCTTGGTGTTGCAGAGCAGGGGCCGGTGGCTCTGTCACTCTTGTCACACTGGTGAGATTTGCAGTCAGGTGAGCTCTGGCTTTGGCTGAGCTGGACTCACTGGCAGAAGGGTGTCCTAGGGGCGAGGTGGCACCTGGAGGAGGTAATTTATGGCTTTAGGCTCAATGGAAGGGACCAGGTGCCGGTAGTGCAGGAGCAGGGTTTAGAGAGCCGGGGCGACAGGGCCTCCCTGGTGGCGCAGCGGTTGAGCGCTGGGTTGTGAAGTTGCCCGCAGCCTCTGCAGCACCGGTTCGATCCCTGGCCACTGGGCGAGGGTCCCACATGGCACGCAGACCTCTCCTGCCGCCCGCTGCTCCCCTCAGCTCTGCTCTCCCCTCTGGCTCTGGTGAATTCTCTCACCCTCCCACGCTTCTGACTGTACCCAGAGCTTGTATAAATAAAATAAATAAATCTTTAAAAAAAAAGAGAGAGTGAGCCAGGGGGACAGGTGCCAGGGACTGAGGGTAATTGGAAGTTTCCACCCTTTGACCATCATACCTGAGGCCTACCTCTGGCCCTATCAGCCCCCTCCTCAATGCAGAGATCGGTTCTTACTCCTTATTTCCCTCATATTGTAACATCCCTTAAGCTTTAAAACAGATCTTGCTGTTCTTTATGTCACCTGTTTGTATTAAGTGTTCAGTTCAGCAGAAAGCTCTTAGCGAAACCGTGTAATAAATATGCTGCTGCTCCCCGCAGCACTTAGCACAGCACATCACACTCGGGGCTCAGCAATTACTTCTTTATTTGAGGTCATGTAGTCACTCAAAGTTTAATTTGCAGCTCATCAGAGATAAAATGGATAAACTTCGTTCCCCCAAGGATCATTTAGAGAAAACATAAAACATACCATACAAATACTCAGGAAAGGTTTTTCTTCCCTTACCCCCTTTATGATTTAAGCATCTTGTGTTACATTATTCATTTAATAAGTATTTGAATGCCTACTATAAACAAGGGACTGGCCAGGAAGGTATTGTGTATATAATGGCGAAGAAGACGCAGTCCTTTTGAGGGAAACACACACAGGCCAGTACAATGTAGTGTATAATGTGGAAGGGAGACCCAGGGTGCTTTGTGGGGTGTTTGCTTTGTGTACTGTAGGTATGAAAATTATCAGTGACACAGTCCTATTTCAGAGGCTTCAAGTCACTAGAGAGGTGAATAACACCCACTGAGAAGTTTTCTGAGGACATTCACTACTTTTGATTCACTCTAATCAAAAATGTTAACCATAAAGTAAAATTTATACTCATAGCTTCAAGACTAAATCCATATCAACATATTTTCTCATTTACAGTCTAAGGACATGGTCAAAGGTGAGTTCTTGAGCAAGGAATTTTCTTGTAGTGGTCCTCATTTTCAGATAGGTAAGAAAGCTTGCCTCCCTCCTTTCATAATCTAAAATACCTGCACTAGCAAAGGAAAATAATATCTTGAGATAATCATAAGAAGTGGTGACCTAAGACAGTCCTGTGAGAATTGCACAACTATGTGGTTCCTAATCTTTCTCAACCAAAGTGAGAGTCCCTTTCTTGTATAAAATAGAGACTTTGAAAGAAAGAAAATCCTCAAGAATCCTTATTATTGCACCAGTACAGTCTTGGCTAAAGAACACTGCATTAAAGTTTGAGAAGCTTTCTCCTTTTGGCCTGTCGTTCGTCAGGCCCTGTTGTGCTTTGGATTCACAGACCCTTGCACACAGTTTTGAGACCTCCCTGAGGGCCTGCAACCAACTGGCAAAGGCAATTATATGGGAGAGTGATTTCATAATGTTTAGTTCAAGTATGTTAAGATCTATAGGATAACAATTTAATGTATAGCTTTGCCAGATTGTTAACTTACACAGAGATGATTTCATGCAGAAAATTACTTTAGAAAAGTGTTTTATGTGCAGTAAATAAGGTAGTTGAGATACATGGTAGGTTATGTGCTCTAGAATTAGAACCTACGGGAACTTGCAGCTGGAATCAAGGGAAGAGAGCGTATCTTTAAGGAACTTCTCAATGTTTAGCATCAACTTATGTGGAAAATACAGCTGTTGGGCAGAGTGTAAATTAAAAATCAGGTTAGAACAGCATTCCACCTGCGTATCTTATTACATGACTGAAGGAGAGGAGTTGAAGGTAATTTCTGTAGTTCCCGGACTTTCAATGTTCTAGGATTTGCAAGTATTGATGTTTTTGCCAAAATGCCGCAGTCAACCCTGAAACAGCACTCTCAGAACTCGCCACCCGCTACAAACAAGCGGTCAGCGCACACGGCAAGTGAGACCTGGTTCTACGTCCAGGAGCTTACGTTCAAGCCAATTTCTCCCCCCACCCTCCCCGCATGTGGAAGGGTGCTTGGCAGCACCTACTCACCTGGTGCCAGTGGCACCCTGCCTCTAACCCTCACAAGGAAAAATGTCTCTAGCCATTGCCAGGTTCCCCCCGGGGACAACATCACCCTTGCCTTAGAACCATAAACACAACAAGGCTAAGATGGCAGCAAAGAAGCCACGGGGCTGGAAGGGAAGACCGGCTTTGGGGGCTTATGGAAGCTGAGATTGAACAGGTACAGCGGGCTGCATTCTGAGGGCCTTCGGTGTGAAACAATAGAACCGATACTTGACCCTCCAGGTCAGGGGAAGCCATTAGAGGTACTGAGGGGTTTGAAATGCTAAGAGTAATTTGGCATCATTCTGCACACCGTGTTGGAGAAAGGCTCCATAATGTGAAAGACATTTTGAGATGTAGGGAGAACGTCCCCTAGGAACTGGCTGTTTGATAGTTGATCCTGAGAAGTGTTCTGTGATGATACAACGTGACTGTGTGTTTTAGGGTCGCTCTTAGGTGACAAGACCCGGATGCCTGAGTTATCAAGAGACATGAATGCGTACATCAGGCCGTCCCCCACTAGTGGAACTTTGGGAGGTGTGACAAGGACCACAAATGAGGCCATTCTGTTGTGTGAAGGAGGGGGATATGACGTCATCCTTGTTGAAACTGTAGGTGAGTGTGATTTTCTTTTTCATGACACTGAAATACTCTGATAGTGGATGCTGTATAAAGATGAGGGGCGACTGTTATTTGGCTTGTTCAGCAAATATTTACTGAAGGTGTAATTAAATAAAAGATGTTGTCTCAGACTCCATGAGAGAGACAAGGATACAGGCTGTCATTCCCTCAAAGGAAAGAAGAGTAAACCATGTAGCTGGGTGGATGCTGCGTAAGGTGGTGTCACACAGGGGACAGGGGGAGAGCTGCAAGCAGTGAGCAAACCTGCAGAAACAATACTTTCACATAATAACAATTTTAAGGCCTTTCCATATGTCTGCAATAGTCACCAAGAAAAGTAACATGGCAGGGGCCTCTTGAACGTAGGGCCGTGTTTTATTTCATCTTACACCCTGGGCACAGCTACACACAATGCAGACATTGACATGGACACCCCAGGAAGGTTCCTGCCTTTGTTCCCTCTGTGAAGTCACCAGGGAGGTGATGAAAAGGGAAAGTGGGTGGTGGCCCCAGAGAGGAGTGGGAGCTCCAGCTGATTGCAGGCACTTGGGGGTGGCTCTCACCGGCTGGTGAGGAGTATGCAGCGGATGTTGGGGACAGAGACCAGAGGGCGGCCCTGTCACCCAGGCGAGCAGCTTCTCCAGTATGCTCGTGGGCGGTTGGGCTGACCTGGGCAAGCTTTGCAGGGCCGGTGGGAAGAGGAGAAGGCAAGGAAGCGGAGTGTTCAGGAGGCCTGGCTTGAGCTCAGCCACAGCGTGGAGGCGGCCACTGAGAGCGTGAGCACTGAGGTGCTCCTTCCCGGAGGCCACCCTAATGGGAAGCAGGAGGGAGAGACTGGGGGGGCGACAGGTGTGCCCAGAGGGTAAGTTCTTCAGACGTGGGGTGTTTAAGCTGGGGTCAGGTGGAGTGTGCGATGGGGGTGTGGTGGATGAAGAGGAATGGAAACGATGGCCCATGTGCAGTGGTCACTCGAAGGACACTGTCTGTGTTTTTGCTCTTACGCTGATGAGAAAACACAGATCCTACCCTGGCTGAACACAATGGCACCACCCCAGGACCTGCCTTCCTGACTCGTGGTTCCTCTTATTAAAGCTGCATTTTCTAAGAACCTGTCCGTGCCGTGCCGTTGAGGACTTCCTGTCGTTGGGAGCGTCAGGTTACGTGACTGTTGCAAATGGTCATGATTTTCAATTTCAGGTGTGGGCCAGTCAGAGTTTGCGGTTGCTGATATGGTTGACATGTTCGTGTTACTGCTGCCACCCGCAGGAGGAGATGAATTGCAGGTAATGATTTTGACTTTTTCCTCCCAAAACACAAGGTATATGTCTCTGGAAGTGCAAACTTCCGATACTGTGTTTTTGCAAGTTAACAATAGTGTAGAAAAAGAAACGTCATTCACGTTGCCTAAGATCCTTCATACAGAGGCAGCCTCTGTATTTCCCTCAGTTTATGATAGAGGCCGCAGGGCCTTGTGCTCCTCACGCACCTCAGCTTTCCCACCTCCTGGGACATGGGAATAGGGGAGGGTGAGGTCAGCTCCAGCCGAAGGAGACCACTGCTGCCTGGGTTTGTAGTGAGCCTGGTTCGGAAGTTCCTGGTGAGATGCCGCTGTTGCCAGCCCCACTGCCAGAGTTTATTACTGTAAAACAGGGTTCTTACCTGCCCCTGCACAGCTGTCTGACATGCAATACCCAGCCTTTGCACAGCCTTCACAGGTTGAGGGCACTTACCCCGTAAGCTGCCAGCTGACCAACGTGCTGCCTACCTGGCTACAGATGTGGGGGTTCCCACTACCCTCAGGTTGGGTAAGTCACTGGAATGACTCAGGAACCCAGGAAGGCTCTATGTCACCATCTCATTTATGTCATAAAGGACACAGACCAGGACTCGTCAAATGAAGGGACACAGGGAGAAGTCTGGGACGGCTCCACATGTGACGCGACTGTGTCCTCAGGACGCATTTCCTGACAGCTCATTGATGTATTTCACCAGTCAGGGGCTGCCCTGACCTTCTGTGGCTGGTGTTTTTATTGAGGTTTCCTTGTATGGGCATGCTTGTTTGAGTCATTGCCATTCACCAGTCTTCTCCCCTCCCCCAAGGTCAGGCTGAGCCTCTAATCATATGACCAGCCTTTCTCCTCTGGTCAGCACCCCACTCTGAGTGATCTTCATAAACTCCGGTGTGGCTCCAGGCACCCACAGTGAATAACAAAGACACTCCTGTCACTCAGGAAACACTGTTATGTGACATCTCCTTTTCAATTGCATGATTCTAAAAATTAGTGGAGCTGTAGTTTAGAAACACTATCTAGTAGAATTTAATAATTAAAAGTTGTGTTTGAAAAAATATTTGAAAGGAGATTTTCATCTTAGATGGAAAACATGAACCTTTTCCAAATACGGTTTGACCTTTGGATTGCACCCTGTGTTTGTACAATTTTCATGCAACACAATTGAAATCAAGAAATGGAAACATTTTTGGCATCAGCTTGTTGTCCCCAAATGCAGATGGAGAAGAAAATGCTATACACATTTAAGGAAAACGTCAGAGACTTTGTTTCTGGAAAATAGAAGTGTTCTCTGTGCAAGCACCGTCATGATGGATGGGTTCGTGTCCTGCAGCCTTAGCTCATGCGACAGCGTGAACTGCCTCTTACCACTCAGCCACGTTGTGTCCTGATGATAGATTTACTCTAATTCTGAATGTCTTTCAGCGTGCTGGCGTCTAAATTTGGAAGAAATATTACAGATGACTTCCCTAATCCCAGGAGCCAGCGTTTTTGAGTAATTTCTGTCGAGCATTGTGAGGCCTGCCATCCAGGGGTTGGGAAAATGCAAAGAAAAAGCTAGTTAGCTAATGAAGTGTACGACTTTCAAAATCTTACCCCTGACTGGGGTCCCATTTTCTGCTGATTGTAATTAAATTTTTCTGATCAGTTGCTTTCTTCTTCTCCTTAGGGTATCAAAAGGGGTATAATTGAGATGGCAGATCTGGTGGCTATCACTAAATCCGATGGGGACTTGATTGTGCCAGCACGGAGGATACAGGCAGAGTACGTGAGTGCGCTGAAGTTGCTCCGCCAGCGTTCCAAAGTCTGGAGACCGCAGGTTAGCTCACATCCCCAGCTGCTTTTCTCAGCCTGAGTGAGCAGATGTAAGCCCCAAGCTGGACATATAATCAATCAGGGCTTGTATGTGAGATTATAACTAAAAGTTATGACAAAGCCAGAGCATGTAGTCGTGACTGTAAGTATAATCCTTCAACCGCTAGATGTCAAAAACTAGATTGGAGGTGGTAGATTAGGTTGCTCAGTGCTTGACCTGAGCCAGTTGGAAGTGATAGCACATCCATTCTGAATCTTGAAGATTAGGGTGTGATTAAGGATTTGATTATCTATATTAGAGTTTGAATAACAGAAAAGGCTTGTCATGCGACATCTCTTCCCACTATGCTCGCTGGGTGCTTTTTTTCCAAAAGGGAGAAAGAAAGCTCCTGTTACAAGTGGTGCAATAACGTTGACGTAGCAGCTCTGCCTGCAGGCAGACACTGTTGTTAGAGAAGAAGCTGTAATCCCTGCAGCAGTGGCCTCCCTCGTGTCAGCTCCCAACCTCCCCCACCACTGCCTGGGGTCTGAAGCTGTCTCGTGCCCGCAGGTGCTGATGCCTAGCTCTCAGGACTTGCTGAGTTAGGTAGCCCTGGCAGAGGGAAGGGTCATTTTCTCACCTTAGCTTTTCTTGCACTCAGGCCGCAGGGAAGCCCTAGTATTTGCCCTTCTCCCTTGTGAAGGTCAGATGGGCAGTTCTCTGTCAAAATAAATCTGTGGGCTAAAAGGTTTGACCTTGAATCAGTGTCTTCTGCTATGTACTGAGTAATCTCAGGTAAGTGACCTCAGTAGGTTTCTCAGTGTGTTTGCTCGGACACAGCAATGAAAGGTCTTATTTTTGTCCCTTGCGTGTTTCCATAGACTGTAAGAATTAATAATGACAGATGTCAGCGTCCCTGTGAACATGTTTTCTCTCATCTTAAGCAAAATGGTCTTGGTTCTTCCACTTTCAACAGGTAATTCGCATTTCTTCCCGAAGTGGAGAGGGGATCACTGAGATGTGGGATAAAATGAGGGAATTCCAGGACCTTGCACTGGCCAGCGGAGAGCTGGCTGCTAAGAGGAAGAAGCAGCAGAAGGTGTGGATGTGGAGTCTCATTCAGGAGAGCATGCTGGAGCACTTCCGGACCCACCCCACAGTCCGGGAGCAGATCCCCGTGATGGAGAAGAAGGTTCTCGATGGGGCCCTGTCCCCGGGACTAGCGGCAGACCTGTTGGTGAAAGCTTTTAAAAGCAGAAAATGAAAAGCTTTTAAAAAGCTTTTAAAAGGAAAATGTATCCTAGACAATGTATATATCATCTCACAAAGTATTTTACTATTAAAAAAAAAGTCCCTTGTATGCTTCTATTTTCAGTGCTTCTTTTGCGCTGCCCTCGGCCTCTTTATTTGCCGACTGTGCTTGAAAACTTGAAGAGCGTGGGCCGTGGAGGACCAGGGTCAGGCAGCCAGGCACATGTGCAGGTACCTGTGTCCCTTCCCCATCTCCGCCTCTTGCTCCTTTTACCCTGGCTTGGTGATTGTGAGAGAGTTTCTTCTCATCACTCAGGAACTGAGAAAGCTGAGGAGGACAGAAAAAGTTCCTACCTCAAAATGCTTTCTTTGATTCTGTTTTCTCTGACTTTCTGGAGAAAATATAAGCAAGAACAGCCACATTTTTGAAGTCTTACTCAAGGCTAGATATCATACCCAGTGAGTTTCTAAGACTGAAATTCATTGTTGACGTCTAGTGAAGGGGCCTGTTGTCCGTTGGGCACACGGGTAACGAGACAGTCAGAACGTGTAGAGATGTGAAGCAAGTTAACAGTCTGCTGGGAGAGTCTTGTGGACCCCTGTCATATGGGGGAGCCCAAAGGAAACTGGCATTATCAGCTGTGGGACCGTTAATCCCCAGGAGTTGGAGTGAACCCCCAAATCCCCAAGTAGGGTGAGAATGATTCCAGGGTTATTCAGGTTGGATATCACCAAAGGATTTCACTTCTCTTCGTTCTTGGCCATTTGAGTTCATATTAGCAGCTTAGAAGTCTGCTGTTCCCCTCCTGGTGGGGAACAGCTTTGTCCCCTGGAGGAATCATGTGTGGTGATGAAGCGCTCAGGGCCTGGCGCTGGACTGCACAGGCGTCAACACTAAACCTACATTAATGCCTTACTAGCTGTGTAAACGTGGGCAACGAACCTACTCTCTCAGCTTCAGTGTCCACACTGGTAAGTGGAATTGACATGTTAACCTTAAAGGTGGCTGAGAATTATATGCGAGAACTCAGGAAGGTCCTTTCCCTACCACGCTGGTGACCAGAGGGTTCAGGCTGCTTGCTCTCCTGTCTCCTCCCTGTTCTTACTACTGCTGTTGTGCCCTCATGCTAGTTTACCATTATCTTTTAATTTTTTGAGTATATTTTATTCTTTGCAATAGCAGTTATAACTGTGTACATTGGACTAAAATTAATTTATAACCATAAAATTTCTGCACTGCACGAAATATCTTCACAGAAACTTCCAACATGCTATGTTTTGAACTATTTAGGATATTTTCGCGCAGTACGTGTCAGCTCTCATTGTGGCTTACCCTCCTATCTGGAATGGACTTTCTTGAGTGGACCTTAGCAGACTCTCCTTTACATTTAAAATGTACACAGCTGTGTCATTGGCTTGCCTGTGTCATGTATAAGGGTGAGGAGAGACATCGAAGGTTATCTGGTCAGTTCTCCTGGCTCCTATAAGATCACTTTAATCGCCCTCTCTGGGGGAGCCTTGTTTTCAGAGTCTTCCAGGCTTCATAACTACTGTGTGTGAGCTCTTCCGTGGAGTAACAAACCCCTCATTTCTGGAGCAGCACAAGTAGTGGGGAAGCACATGCTGCATTATGCAGAAGCAGGGAGGGTGGCTTTATTTCGACCTGAATTTAACTCTGCATTTCTTCTCCGTTTGAACTACTTGAAATGTTATAAATATAGTCATAAAAAGCATTAGAACTGCCCTCCTAGTTCCCTGTATGTTGTTATGCCATGGCTGTGATGTAGAGACCAATTTCTAAGATCCTATCCACCTTTATTTCTGTCATTGGCTGTAGTGGAAGCTGTATAATACAGTAAAATATTTGTAACCTGAAGGAAAATCCATGCTCCCTGTGTTAAGTGCCTTGGAGCCATCTCCCCCCACCCCCAATCTGTGGTGCCACATGCTAGACCCCTGGCCCGGGGAAGGTGCAGGTTCTGACTCAGACACATCTAGAATCACATGTCAGCTCTGTTACTGTCTAGCCTCATGATTTGAGGGAGGCATTTCTTTTCTGTGTGCCCCAGTTTCCTTATGTGTGCAACAGGGAAGAACAGCTATTTTATACATTCCTAAAAGAACTATATGAGAAATTATATTTAAAATAATGGCACTCAGTGATTGGCAGGTATTAGAAATGTTGCACGTGAACATCAGTGAGGGCTCTTTGACCTAGCATCACTTAACTTTCGTTTGGCCAAACTAATTTCCCTCAATTTTCTCATTACTAACTGGGGTTGACAATAGTGTCCACTACTGGTTGTTAAAGGACTATATTAATTTAATACACAGAAAGTACATAGTAAGTGCTATGTAATCTTTAATGATAAATAGTGGCTACTTCTCAGGATGGTTTTGAGGATGAAATGAGTTAGTCTTCCCTTATCTTAAAAGGTAATTCTTTTCTGAAAAAAGAAAACTTATAGGTTGACTTCTCCTTTGTCAGAAAGACTTAATTACCACTAATCTCTGTGGATGACTAAAAAGGTGCTATGTTCCTAACTGAGCTCTGAAATTGACATTCTGCTAAAACAACACCAAATTGCATTAAAATGACTGCAATTACTCAGACAGCTCCAACTGCAGTTAATATCAGCTATCACCATACAACCTAACAGGGACTTTTCTCTTCCTAATCACTCTACAGTATGGCCTTGACCTCTTCCCATAAGCCCTTGCAGTTAGGACCCAGCATATACAAACTGAAGGCCGAGGCCGAGGACAGCACCGGCACGATACCAACTTTTACCTACTTCGAACTTTAATGTAGGAAAAATCAGTGAAAACCACTGTAGGATTGCACTCACCTGGAAAACAGGAGATGCTTCTGGGAAATGCTAGTAATGCCTAGGAAGTGGAGCAGAGAACCAGCCCTGCGTCTCACTCTCTGGTGGTGGGGCTCAGCTGTGCTGCAGCCAAGGCCTCCACGTGGGGCTTCATAAAGGCAAACGCTCCTAAGTCAGACTTCAGGAAACTCCTGGTATATGAATCTCAGCATCTAGGTGGGTGTATCTCGAGGTGCCCCGTAGCTCCCTTTGAGTGCTGGGGTGGGTGGTCTCATTGACCACTATAATGGGAGATTTTAGATTAATTTAGCCCCCTTTATACAGTTGGAGAAGCTGGCTCGTGGCAGATAGTACATTTCAGGCGGATGTCTTTGGGTTGCCTGGTTGCCCCGCTCAAGACAACTCCAGGGAAGATAGGTTTTAAATGTAGAGATTGCATGGAAATTCAAAGACAGGAATCAAAGTTCCGCCTTTAAGAAGGGAGGCAATGAGGACTTACGTTCTAGACTCTGACATGCACAGAACCAGGGAGTCTTCTCCCCCATGCTTACAGCTTAGAAAGAACTGGGCAAACTGAAAGTCTATGGCTTTTCTTGAACCTTGAAACCTGGAGAGTCAGGTGTAACCAGAGTCCCAGCCAAGATCTGCTTACCTGAAGTACCACCTCTTTATAACCAGTGATATTGCCAGTTCCAGACATTTTCTTCCCACTACCTCTGGTCACTTGGGTACTCCTGGAATAATAGGAGACAGATCACTCAAGTCCGTGATTCTGAAAATATTTCGTTGCCTGTAGAGTATACATCATATACCATCATTTTTTCTGGTTTGAATTGTGTTCTCCTAAAAAGATAGAAGTCCTAACCCTAGTATCTCAGAATGTGATCTTATTTGGAAATGAGGTTGTTGAGATGTGATTAGCTACAATGAGGTCATGTTGGGGTTGGATTGGCCCCAATCCAACCTGACTGGTGTCCTTATAAGAAGACAGTCGTGTGAAGACAGAGACACACAGAGGACACTACGTGAGGATGAAAACAGAGATTGCCTTTGCAAGGCAAAGAATGTCAAAGATTGCTGGAAAACCAAAACTGTGTAAGGGTTCTACGTGTTTCAGAGGGAGCAGGGCACTGCTGATGCACTGATTTCAGACTTCTGGCCTCCAGGATGGGGAGACAGCAAAAGCCTGCTGTTTTAAGTCCTCTTCTTCATGCTTCACCGCCCCCACCCCATGTGTGGTTCTCTGTTAAAATGGTCAGTCCCCTGCCTGATCCTAACTCCAAGAGGGAAACATCTGCAAAGATTTTATTAAACTCTCCACCCTCACCCCAAATAAAAATACTTTCTTTAACCTCCCTTTTGTGCCTCCCCTCAGTACCTTGAAACCCCATAAAACAAAAGGAACATGAGATTCCTCATGTCTCTCTTGTCAAGAGACCTTGCTTCTGTTGGTTCTCCACAGTCTCTACCATACCTTGGCATTGGACTCAGTACTGGGCTCTGACGCTCCCAAAGGACCTACATTTTACAAGCCTGAGAGGCTGAGTTCCTGTAAGAGGGATTCAGGAAATTACAGCGGCATTCTAAAGCAATTAGCTGTGAGCCACAGAGAAGCCATCGTGAAATGTCTGGCCACTCCAGGCTCTCCTGCCTGGAGGAGATAATGTCTGGTGCCCTCCAGAGAGCAGAGAGCAGTACTGGAAAGAGAATATAAACAGCATTCTGCCCTTACAGAGCTCACTCCTATTATAGTCAGCTTCTTGTAATGTGTGTTAGGCTTCATTTGCATGAATAGTATATGCAATATGAATTTTCAGTTTGAAATAATTTAACAAAAAAATTTACAGAAAGATCGTACCAGGTGTTTGTATCTCCAAACAGCAACCAAAGTTACAAGGTTTACATGCTTTCCAGTATTTAGGAAGTACGCACAATAAAATGTATGTGCTGTTTAAGCACCTTTTGGTACAGTTCCATAAACAGCTCTTGATCAGTGGACAAATCCTAAGCAGGGAGGCAGGAAAACTGCCATAGGTGGTGTGTATATCACTGTATTTATAGGGACTAGATCCATGTGATGCAGGATAATAGTGTTTTTCAGTGGCCCAGAGTAGACACACTAAATATTTATTGAATCAATGAACAAATTCTGCATGAAGCTCATACATAGCCAAAAAGACTTAAGCTACATATTCAACAGTCCTGACAGAGAGGGACAAATCAAAGGGCAGGAATACATCTACTAATTAATCCACTTCTCCAGAGAAGCCTAA